CCCCAGTGGCACCCCAGGAGAAGAAAAAAAGAGCAGGCAGCTGAAAGCTGGATCATTGCTGCTTCTAAGCACAAGATAACATTTAATTTAAAACCTTTTCTAAATTAGAAAGGAAAATGTTCCCCTAGCATAACAAAAGATGCTGTCTGGTAACACAGATACAAATATTTTAGAGTGAAATTATCAGTTAGTAATCACATTATTTAGGTTCATTTTATGCACAACCTCAGAGTGTGTAATGGCATGTGGAAATGACCTCGAGAGATAGGAAGTAGAGCCACAGCCTAAACAACGGTCTGATAAACGAAACCTCAGTCCAAAGGAAGGATGGGGGTGGAGAAAGCATCTCAGAAGGTATGCTTACCTGGCAGAGAAGATACCATGATCAAGAAGAGACTCTCCCTAGTTTTGGGGAGAGTAAAAGTAAGGGAGGGGAGGGGTGCTTTCAGACTTGCAAGATTCTATTACTGTAATCTTACAATAAACATAGTGTTAGTACTCATGATTGGTGTTTGGACAACCTCAAAGGGCTGGCAGAGTGTTTTCCTACAATTTTACAACAGTGTTTTCTTCTCACAGGGTTACAGAACAGGCTATGCTTATCGGCAGCCCCTAGTGAGGGAGAAACCCCGGCACAAGAGTGATGTTGAAATCCCAGCTACTGTGACAGCGTTTTCCTTTGATGATGATTCAGTCCCAATTTCCCCCCTTAAATTCCTAGCACAAAAACAACAGCGGGAGAAGACAAGGTGGCTAAACTCTCCGAATACATATTTGAAAGTGGATGTTCCTGAAGAATCCCGGAATGGAGAAACAAGCCCCAGGACTAAAACGACAGTAAGTAGCACTTGTCCAAAGAATGGGAATAGTTTTAAAATGTGTGTTTATAGGAGAAGGTATCATGGAGAATCTATCTATGTGGTCACTAAGAGTCGAACTAGACCATTTAGAGAAACAAGAAACATGGAATACTATCCTGGATTATATAGTATTCCAGCATTCTGTACAAAAACATTAAACAGCTCATTGATTCCTACTGGAATAATATGTGCAAATTGTTAAGATTTCTTTATAATGTTTCCATCCATGTAAGCAGAATTCTTGTCTCAAGCATTTCCTTCTTTGCAAAGCTATCTCTATCCTTTCCTGTTTGTTACTACTTTTTCACCATTCTCAGCTATTAAGTCTTTCCAGACTGTCCCTTTATAGCACCATAAATGTGCTGTTCATTTTGTTGTCAGAGAATCCTAACTCCTTCAAAAAAACCCTAGTTCATACATATTATATCAATTACACTCGTTGCATAATAGAATCAGTCAGGTTTAGCCCCATGTGTGCTTCTATTGATAGATTCGTTAGATTCATATTACATGTTAAATCTCTCGCCCCATTTAATCCTGATGTTTCCAGGTAGATTCCTAACTGAGTACGGAGTACTCCTGAGCAATAAAGATTATTCTAAGCTTCTAAGATGAAAAAAATAGGTCAAGTTTCCTTTGAGTCAATCATGACTCCTGGTGACTTAATAGACATTTCCATATCATTTTCTTAGCAACAGTACAAAAGAGGTTTGCCATTGCCTTCTAGATTACAGCCCCTTTATGTCCTGAAGGTCTTTCCTCTAAATACTAACCATGTCTGACCCTGCTTAACATTTTGAGATCATCCAGCATCAACTAGGCGCTGCCAGTTAGCTGGACTGTTTTGAACTATGAGAGACCAGCAGTTTCTTGTGTTTGTTAGCTTGCCTTTTTTGAGAACTGCTGACATATAATGAACTATAAATCTGCTCAGGACAAAAACAATTATACAAAACAATTGGGGGATATGTGTAAGAAAGAGTTTCATGTAAACCACTGTATCTGTAAATACCACTGAATTAAGTGATTGCCCTTGGTCAGGAATAAACAAATATTTGGTTGTTTATGCAGAAATCTTTTCTACAAAGTATTGTGGTACAAAGACTATTTTTGCCCCTACTATCCTGGTACTGTACTTTTTCAATATTATACAGAGAACATAGATAAAAATAAGCTTTATGCTAATCAATCGTAATGCAATGTAAGCAAATGATTAGCTCCACCTGGTGGTGGTTTAACAATTTACCCATGGTTCATTTTTGAATTTTTTAATTAAGTAGCTTAATAAAGTACTGCTTTAAGGAAAAAACAAAATAAGA